ACGGAGGCAACACTTCTCATGATCGATGTGTCATACTGTTCTCATTCATCGTTGTCGCTACCGGAGTCAGTACCGGAGTCGCTGCTATCATCGGTTGTTACGACAACCGGTGGGAGATCTTCTAGCAGCCCGTCATTCGTCCAGTGCTCCTGCTCCAGCCTTTTGACGTGCTCACAGCACTTACTCCAGTCCTCTGGAGAGACAGCTGCGACACCTGCCTCCACCAGCCGTTCCACCTCCTCCATCCGCCCCGTCAAGTTCCCCCGTCTTATCACGCGCTTCATCTGTGCCCACACTAACTCTATCGGGTTCAAGTCGCAGTGATACGGCGGCAGGCGAACGATCCGATGACCATGATCTCTAGCAAGGTTGCCCAGAAAATAGTCCTTTTTCCGGTTCTGGGACTTGACTAGCTCCTGCAGCTCCACCTTCCGCATGTCTTCGTCGATGGCCACACCTGCCTGCTGCAGCCACTCCTGGATTTCCGCTTTACGCCAGCTAGAAAATGGCACTTTTTGGCTCAAACGGGAATGATATGAGCCATTATCTATGATGATCACAGAGTGCTCTGGCACGTTCGGAAGCAGGCACTCGATGAACCACTTCTCGTAACAGTCGGCGTTCATCGACGTATGGTAGTCGGCGTTCTTGCCATCGGTCCTGAGGTGGAGAAGTGCGCCCGGTATAAATCCTTCTGAAGAGCCGGCATGGACTATGATAAAACGTTTTCCTTTTCCAATGGCGTTCTTCCGTCCGTTGATTTGACTACCGTCCAGCCACGCTGAGCCCTCCATATCGTACTGATTATACAATGTCTCGTCGGTATACATGATTTTGCTATCGGGAACTTCTCTACGCAGCCTCTTCATCTCCCTCAAGAACTGACATTTCGTTGCTGCAATATGGGGTTTCTCGATCAGGATCTTGCGCTTGTCGATCCTTCGGTACTTAAATCCGTTCGCGAGTAGGTGTTTTCTTGCGGTGGATCTAGACATGGTGACGCCGAGCTGTTCGTGAAGAGCAGCCGTGATGGTGTCCAGATATATTGACATTGTGGTGACATGGTGACAATATAAAAACTGTTCACTGCGTAAAATATCACCGCAACACCAAAGTGATGCCGGTCATGATGCCGGTAATTTTTGGGCTACAGCACACTCGAATAATGACCCACGCGCAGAAAAAAAACGTGGAAAATCGTTGGCAGCACTTTAATTCCGTTCTTTCTTACGATAAACAGAGCATAGCCTCATGCAAGCATTTGAAAACCATGCATGACAAAGTAAATATTTCAAGAACATCGATGAATTCAGCACTACTTATTGATGAACCGGGAAAATGGCTACTTGCGTTGTTTTCGGAGACTTGCAACGAAAATGACAGATGGCATTACCTGCTTTATTGTGTCAACAACACTAGAGTACCGATAGTGGTGCTCAGTGCTGCAATATGTAACATTCTTCGTAGCTGACGACGGTTAAAAATATTCAAAAGTCCTGATGCAATGGAAAAGAGCATCAGCATTCAACAAAAAATTGTCTTAAAGAACATCCCGCCTGAACTCGAAACGCGGCTCCCCGAGCCGTTTTGCACCATGTGCAGTTCGTCAATCTGCTTGTCGTTGGCACTGGAAAAACGACTCAGGCAACGGCTTATGGCCTATAACGACAGTCAGCAGTGCTGAGCAGCGACACAGATAGAAAAACAGTTCAACATCTACAGAACATAAGTTGGCTCGCGAGTAGCTGACCATAGTGTTTTGCTTTACATGGTGCACAAAATCTTTTAGCTATTTGCTCAAGGCGGCGAAAAGCAGAAGGTGCTGAGCGGATTTAAATGCAGCCTTTTCAGCAGTCACCGTAGTTTTCGAGTCCATTACATAAGGACTTGGGCTGCCTGTCCCATAATGAATTCCTTAGCATTAAAAGCTGCACATTAAACCGAATGCACAACGGCAAACACGTTATCCATGCATTCGTAGTTGGGAGCACCTCATTCAGTCGGATCATTCCCAACAGTCAGGCATCCTTGTCAGCAGTGGATGCGTTTGGGATCATCCGTTGAATTTTGTCCTCGCCCTGATAGAAAGTGGGAGCTTACATTTTCCGTAGCCTTCAGGGTATTTATTACGCGCGTTTTGATACCAAAATGTGTCTCTAATGTTTCGGTCTCCGAGATGTGACGGTTTCTGAGGAACATTACGCGCCAACCCACGACCGGCCGCTGTGGGCCGACATAGTAATGAAGCCTGACATCATAAGGTTATTTTCAAAACGTGTAGAAATGCATACAAATGTGCCCATACAAGTTTGATGTCGCTCTGTGGCGATATTGTGAATATGGGGATGCAAGCCTGAAAAAGTAAGATTTGGGGGCAGGGGGGGGGGGGTAACATGCCGCTTGAACTACCATCATGAGGTTAAGTATCGGTCCAGCAGCACATAAATTGCTATAAAGTATGGGATATTATCGAGACAAATTCATTTCGTTTCAGCGATCAATGGGTGGTCGCACCAACGCCCCAGTTAATCTCCGCCATGGAAAAGGGCGAATCAGAGTTGAGAGTAAAAAAAAAACGGCTCAGCTAACGTGTTTAACTACTGTATCCTTGTCTTTCCATTTTAACACGCGCTCGGGTGTAGGGTCAGTTTAACCGCGAAGACATTTCCAAAATGATTTCAGTACAGCGCGGCGACGCTGCGCCAAACTTGGCACAGCTGCAGAGATATGGATAAAGAATCGTTTG